CTACACTTGCCACATTGGCCATAGCTGTTCCTGATTCATGTCCATAGTTCTGAGAGCTTGAGTTGCCATTTCTTTGGTTGCTTGGAACAAAATTCAGATCAGCCCTATACTAACACTTTTCTGCAGTGTGGCTTTGCAAGTGACAGATTTGACATCTTATCCTTCCTCCTGACCTTCCACCTCTTCCTCTAAAAGGCCCATTGCCTCTCCCATTTGACCTTCCACCTCTGCTTCCATTAAAGTTATAGCTGCCTCTTCCTCTATTTCCATAGCCTCCTCTTGTAGAGGTGTTACCAACAGCTGAGAAATTGGCATTGGGATTGAACCCTTCAAAACCAAAGTGAGGATTTTCAAAACTTTCAAGCCTGCTTTCAAAACTCAACAAAAGATCATGAAGTTCCCTCAATCTATAAGGCTCAAGTCTAGCCCCCACTGAGACCATAACTGGGTTGTACTCACTCCCAAGTCCAGCCAAGATGTGGGTAACTTGTTCATCCTCAGAGATTCTCTGCCCAGCCACAGCTAGACCATCACAGCAGACTTTCACTTTGTTAAGGTACTCAGTCATAGATAAATTTCCCTTTTTAAGAGTTTGAAGCTGCAGTTTATACTGCATGATCTTAGCTCTTGATTGACTAGCAAAGGCAGTTTTTAGATTATCCCAGATATCAAAAGATGTGTCAAGCCCAACAGTAGTAATGAGTATGCTCTCAGACAGTGATGATAAAAGCCAGGAAACAATTAGTTGGTCTTGTCTGTTCCACACAGAAAATGCAGGGTTGGAGATTTTATTACCATTTTCATCAGTGGTTGTTGCAGCAGGGGGTGTTCCCACAGTGATGAACTGATCCAGCCCATATCCTCTAATAGCAGCTAGAACTTGTTGTCTCCAAACCAGATAGTTGTTTTCTGTGAGCTTGACAGTGATGACTTGAGATTGAAGTTGGACTATAGCAGGCTGCTCGGTGGCCATTTTGAGCAGAAACTAAAGAAAAATAATAGAAGAGAGAAGGAGGTTGATCAGAGACTCCAGGATTAACCTGAAGCTCTGATACCATGAAAAATTTCTTGGATCAAATACATTAATAATGTCATTAACAAAGAGAATGATACATCAATCATTTGCACTGAATACAAGGAATGATTTTCTTAGCTCTTGAAAAGTACATTGCAGCTGCCACATTTTACATATTTATATTCATAGCTACGAGAAAATATTCTAGACCTCATGACCTAGCTACATTAAATCTCAACCACATATCATAGGATAAGATGGAGCTAGCTTGTTTGTCTTCTTGTGTGAGTCATCATAGCTGTTTGAGATGCAGCTCTCATTTCCTTTTGTACTGTGATGCTTAATATCAAGAAGGGCATGAGAGTCTTTTACTTTGCAAGTGATGGCCCCTACCTTAAACTCTGACGTGGCTGCATGGATGGCAGGTGACGTTGCATGGCAGTCTGAGGTAGTAAGGTTGGCACTATGAGTCCATAACTGACTGCTTGACATATTAGCTGGTGGATGTGACATTCATCATATTTTCATGCATTATGAGTGATATACTGTGATGTTTAACCGTGTTTATCGTGGGATTGTGCACCATTTTGTTTGGTTTATTAATCTATGATAGAGGTACATTTGTCGTTGGTTTTGTAGGAAATATGCCCGAAAGAACGTTAAAGATGAATTGGGACGAAAAACGGCGAAACAAGGTGCAGGCAAGTCACACGACTCGTGTGAGAAGGTGACACGAGTCGTGTGGGTTGAAAAGATGACGAAACGGAGGATTTTTGCTTCGGCCTTTTCACACGACCCGTGTGTCAAGTGACACGGGTCGTGTGAACTCACACGGGTCGTGTGACCCAGTCGTTTGACCAGTCGTGTGAGTCTGGGAGTTGGCCGAAAGTTAGAGGAAAGTCACACGACTCGTGTGGCATGTGAAACGGGTCGTGTGAAGCGCAGAGAGACCAGCAGAAAATAAGATTCATACGCGATTTTGTCCCTTTTTCGACCTAAATTTGCCCTACAGTATATAAGGAACATGGAGAACACGGTTTTGGGACTTTTGACACCATTAGAGGCCTAGAGAAAGCACGAAACACACGAGGGATTCGAGGAAGTCAAGATTGAAGATCCGGGAACTAACAGCGACAATAGTTCTTCTTTCTTTTCTCATTTTCTTCTTCATTGAACTCATGGATTTATTTATTTTGAGTATTGAGAATATGTTTAGTAGCTAAATCTCTTTGAGATTCTAGGATTTGCGAGTACTCGGATTATTTTATGAAGTGATTTTGTTTATTCATTTGTTCTATCTTTCGTTTATCAATTTCTTGTGATTATATGAATTGTGTGAATATAGGGCCCGTATTTATGCATAGTTGTGATTGACTTGAGACCGGGAGGAGATAGTTGGTTGCTAGAACTGGGAAATTCATAATGTAAGAGACTAAACAGACCGAGAGGTTGATAGAATCTTGCGAGGGAACTAGAATCTTAGGAGCTTATGGGAGTTAGTTGTTCATCTTGAGACCGAGAGGAGATAGATAACAATTAATATCTACGATTTAACTTGTTCGAGAGAAAGGTGTAAATTACTTTAGCGATTATCCCTACGATTGGTAGAATTAAATAAGGTTTGAATGAATAAGAAAACTTCACTAGAATAATCCCGAGGAAAGCATAGCCTAGAATCTATTTTCTCATACTTGATTTATTTAGAATAAGCCTTCTTTAGCGTTAAGAATTTATTTTGCATTCATTCTTTAGTTTAGAACAAAATCACCATTCAAATTCGAGCTAGTCTAAATAATATTTAATCGTCTATATTTTGGTACTTAATTAGTTTAACAACAGTCTCTGTGGAATACGACCTTGTTCGCCGCTTTCTACAGCTACACCGTACACTTGCGGGTAGTGAAAATATTTTGCGAACAGGATGTTTTGTATGTTTTTTGTTGTTATTTGTGTGTCTTTATGTGTTTTATTTGTGTTCGATTCATTTTATTTTAGGTTTTCCCGGTCCATATAGTCATTTTTGTTCGT